AATAGATAAAGAATAGCAAAAAAGAATAAAAGTGTGGTTACCATTTAGGTGAGTCATCATACCTTTGCAGTAAAAGGAGTTTGGAGTGTAGCCATTTACTCACATTTTGCTGTTGAAACAGCTTGAATTTATTGAATTAACTGTGTAAGGAAAGAAAGTTGCAAAGCCCAGGTCATCCTTTGGCCTGTATGTCTGTTATTTATGAGGTCCTAAGCGTATGTGTGAATCTCTGGGGCAGAAATCCTGGATTATAGCCCCTTTCTGCCTGGCAGTTCAGGAGTTCAGAGGCTGGTGGAACCTACACTCTTGTTGTGGCACCATAATTGTTATATTCTTTTTGTCAGAAAACACGTGCTGACCACACAGCTCTCCAGAATGCCAAAATTAAAGGGAAAACTAAGGCGGGGGAGAAGGGCAGATAGATGTGGATCCTTGTGAGCACAGACCTGACTAGCCTTTTGTTCTCTGAAGTATGTATGAACTGCTTTGTTGGCAGTTAAGGCTGACTCAGTGTCCTACACTGTGTCCTGGGTCGGTGCAGTTTAGTCAAGGCTTTGGAGTAACCGAGCACTGAAACATGTCTGATACAATGGTAGAGTCTTCTGACTCCTGTTTTAGAGAACAGGACGGAAAGCCATTCCCATTAGAAAAACAAATATTGCAAGCATTTACAACATAGGTTCATGTTACATGAGCTTTGAAATCTGACAAAGGAAACTCTGACAGCTTGAGAGTCTTGTTTGTTTCTGAAGAACTCCAGTATTTCTCTTAATGGTGCTTTTAAGGCCAAAGGAAAGCCTAGCCTGACCATGGAACTGGTGTGTGGTTTGTCGATGAATTACTTATTGCATGATTGTTACACCCTAGCTGCAGAGCTGTTCCTATCAAGATTAGAAGCAGATTACAGTTCTGTTTATAAGAAAACCGTAATTCTTTTGCTCTTACCTAATTTTTACTTTATAACCTCCTGAAGTTAAGCTTTTTACCTCTCTTCTTACATAGAAAAGGTTGCAGGTGTTTACAAAGACCTTCAGAAATTATCCCGTCTCTTTAAAGACCAGCTGGTTTACTCTCTTCTGGCTGCTGCCCGACAAGGTGAGAGAAAATATTTACAGTTAGAGTTGGTACTTCATTTTTGAGGATGGAAGGAAGGGGGTCTATCTAAAGCCTTGAAGGAGAAGTGTTAGAAACAGCTGTTTGGTGATGGGTATATAAAAAGTAAGCATAAAGTAATTTATACATTCTACAGAAATTATATAAATCTTTGTATCTCAGAAAATGTTAACATAATGATAGTTTCCTGGTTTTAATTTTTGATTGTTCTAGTCTCACTTAAGAGACTGAAGTGGAGTGGCTATTTTCCACACTTAGCGATGAGAAAATCATACCACAATGATTTTGCGGCAGTAGTTCTGATCCATTTTTTTGTCAAAGCATAAAAAACTGCCGCAAAATCATTGTGGTATGAGTTCTGATCCATTTTTTTGTCAAAGCATAAAAATTTATATCACATCATATTTGGAAGTCTAACCCCAGGAATGATCTTCTCAGTAACTGGTCATTGAGGGCTTGGAAAGGACGGTAGGAAGTAACCCAAGCTGGTGTTTGTGGAGCAGTAGGAAGCCAGGCTTTCTCTGCATAGGGAAGGTTTTATGTGAAGCATGTGCTCTGCATTTAATGTGTTTTTGTGGGCTCATGAAATTGGAAAGGTCTTTTTTTCTTTACCGATTCCTTTGTTCTGTAGCCTATAAGCATAGTTAGGTGTGTGAAATGTTTCTTAGGCTTACAGTGGCCAGTAGTGGTCAGTATAAAGTGCCATTTGCCCTACTTTGTACACTCTCTAAATGTACTTAGAGGTCTGTTTTATAAGAAGTCACGTCACAGTACTTTCCGAGAAAAGTGGTGTAACTCTGGCATCAAAGAGAAATGATTTAAGGGAAAGATTATAATGTCCTTTCTTTTAGAGTCTTCGGAGATAGAGTAAACTCTGCGCCACTGAGGTAATGCTTCTGTTTTCTTCTCTTTGTAGCTCTGAACTTGCCAGATGTGTTTGGTTTAGTGGTCCTTCCTCTTGAGCTCAAGCTTCGGATTTTCAGACTTCTGGATGTCCGTTCAGTCATCTCTCTTTCTGCTGTTTGCCGTGATCTTTACACTGCTTCAAATGACCAGCTTCTATGGAGGTTTATGTATCTGCGAGATTTTCGAGGTAATACTGAGACACGTGTTTTTCTGATTACATTCTCATGTGAACAGAGGGATTAGGTCCAACAGATTTGATAAGAGTTTCCTCAGGCAACCAATTCTGATTTTTAAACACTGTGACTAGATGCAGTCATTTGAGATGCTGACTGGTACAGTTGGTCACCAGGTGTAACTCAGGTGGATGCACAGTTTTCTGCCATGAAAACTTAATGGCAATCTGCTGAGCCATTACTGATGGACCACATAGTTCTTCCCATTGTGTGGTGCAGGCTTTCCTTGTTGCCATCTGTTTTTCTGGCTGCCTTGGTGTACTGGCTATTGCAGATACTAGGAAGTGGAGGGAAGAGCTATTC